TATCTTTGCGATCGTTGTCAAGCTTCGGACATTTACTGGTTCATATCTGAAGAAAAAAGAATTCAAAAAAGATGGTGTTGCTGTATGCATTTTTATGATTCATTTGGAGTGGGAAGCTTAGTACCCAACAATGGATGCTACAAAAAAGGTGATTGCAGGGACAAGATTGAATATGGCACTTCCTGCTGATGCTGAGGCCAAGTATAAGCCTTCTAACAAAAGCATTTGGCTACTTGTTATTCTGCAAATAAGAAAATAGTATTAATTTTGTATTCAGACAGAAGTAGGAAGTGCTGTATGTATATATAACCAATCAACTTTGTGATGTTTAGGCATGGACAGACAAATCATGTTTGCTACAGTGATACAAGAAAGTAATGGAATTGTAGGTTAAAAAGAATTATTTACCCTATCAAAGCCGCAATAAAGATCAATGAAAAGCTCTTCCATCCGATACAACATTTCGTTCTATGACACACGAAAGAAATCTCTGAATCAGACGTTATAGATTGGAATTCAGTAACAAGTTTGCGTATAAAAATGTCCAAGTTCATGCATACCTTGAAAAGTAAGAGATCGGAGCAATGGCTAAGGTGGCAATTGCTTGTCTATAGACAACAAAAACTCTAGGGTTCATTCCTTCCAAAAGAGAAGCTCTAGTTGAAATGGAGACTGCTCCATATGTAAATTGAAGCACCAACATGGCCATTAATGGCTTGTTATGCTCAAACCACCCCATTTTCACTTTGAAGATGAGTGAGCTTAATTGTAATTGTAATGTGATCTTATTAATTGCTCCACAAATTTGAATCCTTATTGCTCCCAAAGGACCTTAATTATATACTCGTACTTCCAAGAGTTAGGGATTTGGCACTTGGATACCTAATCTTTGAACTTCCCCAAGTTCAGTCCTTGATTGTTTCCATTGATTGTTTCCATTTGCTGGAGTGCAAATAACATTGATATATATATATATATATATATATATATATATATATATATATATATATATTAGAGAGAGAGAGGGGTGGAGTTATTATGCAACCATTTACATTTATACAACTCAATATCAACCGGTCCATTTAATTTGATAAATATGTGATTTTATAAAAGTTTTGATTGTTTTCTAATATAAAGTATTGATCCTAATTAATGAAGTTTAGTTATCTTCCATAAATATTCAAATCATAATAAATGAACTCTCATCATTTTCATAAATATCTCAATTGATTGGGTTGCATTGGTTGTACAAATGGACATGGTTGTATTTAAAATATACCTTTTATATATATATATATATATATATATATTATACTTGGGGTTTATATTCTTGAATCAAATGATGATGTTATCCTATATATTTAATCGTGTAGTACATATATACCAAATATACAATGCATTGACTAAAAGAAAGATTAATTATCGACAAACCACCACGATCTTATGTGTATTTTACTTCTATTCGCACTTGTAAGTGCTCGTTTAAGTAACAGAATGATTCAACCAACAAAGTCTGATAGTAAATCGAGTGGATAGACTTGTAAAAAGAAAAAGAACTATTTATACGATAATATATATAATGAGAGGTTCATTTGAGAAGTAGTAAGTATTTTAGAAGTAAAGAAGTTATCATAGTCCTTCATGTGGTCAAGATTTGTCAATAATTGCGATATTGATTGATCAAAAATTGCGATTTTGACTAGTCAAACGAAAAATAGAGGGCTAGTTTCGTGACTGTTATAAATAGGTAGCAAACAAATACATATGTGAACCCATAAGTGTGTATGTGAACATATATCCACATGTAAATCAGTTAATTAGTTCGTATGTGGGTCACACGGATTCATAATAAAATTAGTTAATTAGTTCATATGTGAACTACACGGTTCACATATAAACATATAGTAAAATATGTAAATCACACGGGTTCACATATGCATTTGCTTTGCTGTCTATTTGTAAAAATTACGAAACTACCCCTCTATCTTCTGCATACTATGCGAGAAATTATTCGGTGCTTCACATTCAAAGACGCAAATTTTGACCAGATGAAGGGTTTGGATCAGTTCTCTACTTCTCAAATAAACCTATGGCTATATATGCTATCATTTTCTGGATTCGGCAGTTTTAGTTCTGACCCTTTTATGGTTCCGTCCCCGTTTGAAGAAATGGCGATGAGAAAGTGAGGTTAAAAATGTAATTGAAGTGTAAGTCGAAGGGTGGTAGATGCAACTTAAGTACATGATTAGATGATATATTAAAGTATACTAGAAGCGTACTCGCGCAATGCAGCGAGATATATCATGATTTTAATATTCATTTTATTATTTATCTCAGTTGATGTTATAATATGGCTTTATGTGATTTTGAGAAAGCGATGATGTTTTTATTTTTGAATAAAATATATGTTTGAAGATATCATAAAAATTTGACTAAAAATTATCGATATTAG